CCTCATCTCTACAAAAAATAAAATAAAAAGAAATTAGCCAGGCTTGGTGGCTTGCATCTATAGTCCTAGCTACTTGGGAGGCTGAGGTGGGAGGATCACTTGAGCCCAGAAGTTGGAGGTTACAGTGAGCTATGATCACGCCACTGCCACTGTACTCTAGCCTGAGACAGAGAGCAAGACCTTGTCTCTAAAAAAAAGAGAAAAAGAAAGAAAGAAAGAAGGAAGGAGGGAGGAAGAAAGGAAAGGAGGGAGAGAAAGAAAAGAAAAGGAAGGAAAAAACCCTCTGCTTTGTTTTCATGGTTTGAATTGATTTACTTATCTTCCGGATTTTCAGCAAGTGTATCCAAGGGCTCTTCAATTTCTCTGTAAAGTTATTTACCCATTTTAGCTTTTAAGTGGATATGCAGGTATAGCACCTGAGTGCATTGGTTTTATATCACGGGGATTTGGCATTTATTTATTTATGAATGACAGGGTCTTGCTCTGTTGCTCAGGCTAGAGTGCAGTGGCATCTGCAACCTCAAACATCTGGGCTCCAGTGATCCTCCTGCCTCAGCCTCCCAAGTAGCTGGGTCTACAGGCATCACCATGTCCAGCTAATTTTTCTATTTTTTGTAGAGATGAGGGTCTCATTCTTGCTTAGGCTGGTCTCAAACTCCTGGCCTCAAGTGATCCTCTTGCCTTAGCCACCCAAAGTGCTGGGATTACAGGCAGGAGTCACTGCACCCGGCCTTGCCACTATTTAGTAATATGTTGATCCACTGCCAGTTTGTACAGATTCATGTATTATAGGTGAGAGAGGAATTATAGCCACACTTGAACTCCTGGTCTCAGCTACAGTAGACTGGACAGGTTTGACTGTTTGCCCTGATTGATTTAACCAGACAATTGTCAAACCTCCACCAGGGTCTCTATTCTATCTATCTATTAATCATCTACCTATCTCTCCCTAAAAAGCCACCTCTCTTGCTTCCTGCTCTGTTTAGATGATAACATGTAGCACAAACATGAAAAGAAACACAAGGCCGAGCTACTCCCTGGTGGCCCTAACACTCTGTGTCATCACAATTACTGTGCTGCATCAGCGAAAAATGTTCTGTTAGGCATCCTCAGATGAGATGTCAAAAAGATTCTGTAAGTGTGAACTTACTTTTTGCTGTTATTGAGTTTCCATTTATTTCCTCCTTTTCCTTTAAGAACAAGTGGAGAAGGACATTTGGGCGGAACAGTCGCAACATGCTGACTCATCTTGGGTGTTGAGAAGACCGAAGCAATTTGAAAAAGTGACATTATATCAAGGGCAACGTGGAAAACAATTAAAAAGATGGACTCCAGATGTACATGATTCCAGAGACGACGCAATTTGACCGACGTTCCTACGCCATGCGCTCCTCCCTTCCCAGCGAAGCGAACTGGCTATGGTAGCCTTGATGCCAGCCTGAAAGATTTTCTGTGTTTCTGGTAACATTTCAGCAGTTGATTTCCTTCTGCTTTGACTGAGACCAGGGCATTAAAGCACCAGTACTTCAAAAGGATTTAAGAATTTGTTAGTTTTTCAGGAGATGGTGAGAAATGTACTCAAGATTCGCTTTTCTGTTTTAGGTAAAGACTTCCAAAGGGTGTTCATTTCCAACTCTCATTTTAGTTTCACTTAACGTACAAAAAGAAACCTTTATTTCCATGTGGCATCATTCTGGTGGTAACAATAGTTTTTTTTTTTTTTCTTTTTCGCAGGTAGAACATTCTGTGATATTCCACAGCATTCATTATGTAGGTCTTGGTGGTTTTATATGAGATATTATTGAATGACTCTGCTCGTGAACAATGAATGATAGTTTCATAAACAACCTTTAGGAGGCAGACGTAGCTTCAGTTTAACACTATAAAAACATGTCATTATACAATAGCCTGTAGAAGGTGCTAAGAAAATACAAAGAAGTAAAACAAATACACAAAATGTAATGCATAATAAAATAATAAATAAAATGATAAAAATAATACGTAAAATGAAAGGGTTTGTGTAGGACTGGGTGGTGTCTATGTCTGTATGAGACAGGGAGAAGGGTGAGGGTGTGGGAGAGCGTCTGGAACACAAATCCATCTACGCACGTATGTTGTGAATGGAGCTTCAGAAGCCAGGACAGATAATAGAACAGGTGGCTGACACAGGCTGCTAAAATTAGATACTTCCATATATCAAAGTATAAGAGGTACCACCACTACTTGTTTTAATATTTTCCCAGTGGACTTGCTTCTATAGTGTGAAGACTGCCTCACCTGGGCTTCCTTATATGTAAAGATATTATATGTAAAAATTATTTATCTCAAAGTATGATATTTCATGTTTCTATACCAACTGAAAAAAATTTTTTTTTTTTGAGACAGAGTCTCACTGTGTTGCCCAGGCTAGAGTGCCGTGGCGTGATCCTAGCTCACAGCAACCTCAAACTCCTGGGCTCAAGCAATCCTACTGCCTCAGCCTCCTGAGTAGCTGGGACTACAGGCATGCACCACCATGCCCGGCTAATTTTTCTGTGTATTTTTAGTTGTCCAATTAATTTCTTTCTATTTTTAGTAGAGACGGGGTCTCGCTCTTGCTCAGGCTGGTCTCGAACTCCTGAGCTCAAATAATCCACCCACCTCGGCCTCCCAGGGAGCTAGGATTATAAGCGTGAGCCACCGCGCCCGGCCTGAAACAATTTTGGAAAGGAAAAGAATTATTCACCCTGACCATCCTACTTGAGATAGTGAAGGCACCTGTTTTGTTTTCACAAACCAAAATGGGATTGCAAGAGTCAAACACATTTTCAGGTTGAAAGAATAGTTTGCCAGAAAAAAACATTTTGCTAGAAAAGAGGTCGACTGAAAGTCTGTTGATGTGTAGGAAACGCTAGTGTTAATCCTTTGTGCATATACGCACATAAGTTAAAATCTAGGACATATAAAATTAAGTGTCATAAGGAAAATATAATAAGCAGGCATCTCAATTATTAGGTACTCTTTATTATATAGTATAAATGGCTCTATAATGCCATAATGACAGTACACCTAGGAACCCCGAACTGATAGGTACCAGAGTAAATAGTTTAGCTATTTGTGTATGTTGAATAGTGTTTTGTGCTGTTACATTTCTGGGTAATCTTCCTCATTCATTTTAGATATTGCAGCTTTCTTTTTCAGGTTAGAAAAAGTTAATGTAGAGTGATATTAACCTATGATATCAGAAAAATTTGAATAAGTTTAAAATGTCTTGATAGTCTATGCATGTTTCTTCTATTTGAGATAATAGGCGCTTAGCAAATATGAAGATGCCAAACATCATGCAATAAACCATTTTCATATACCAACTATATGCCAGAAGATTCTGTATAGGAGAGCTGGATTACAAGAGCAACCAACCACAATTTAAAGAAAATCTACAGAAATTTAAATACAATTTAAAGAAAAATGTGTTATAATGTAGCCTTTTTGTTCGAACAACTTTAAAATTGCTCTTTTAAAAATAGTCTAAATATTTTTACCTTTATTCTTAGAAAAAAGGTTCTCCAAACTTATTATACTTGTTTTAGAATATATGGAAACTACCAAAAAGAAAACTCAAATCTGAGAAAACCAGTATTAAAATTTTGGCAGTTCCGTTCATTTTTTTTCTCTTAATTTCCTATTGTTCCCCTCTCTCTTTCAATGCGCGCACACACGTAAATGTACACAATTGAAATCATACTGTTTGTAGTTTTATATCCTACTTTTTCCACTTAACATACCATGAGCATTTTTCCATGTCATTAAATATGCTTTGAATATGTTCTTGGCCACATAAAATTCCATCCTATTGAAGCACCTGTTTTCTTTTAAGCAAAGACACATGCCATGTTTTCCAGTCTTATTGGACTCTGAAAAGCCAAAGAAAATACCTTGTGTCGATCTGCCATGAGCCTCTTTTGAGTTTCCAATTTTTTATTCTATTTATAAAATGCACCCAGGGTGCAAACACACCTCTGGACACTAGATATAATGTATAGTTAATAAGCATTCTAAAGAAAATGCCGATCAGCCTCTTTCCCCTTGATGTTAAGTCACCCACTTCACCATTACAAATCTATAAAGTGTCAAAAAGTGTCACAAATGCTTTTTCCATAGTCACAAATGAACTTCAATCTCTGAGGCACCCACCTGAAGACACTTGAGATTATCATAGTGCAGTTTTAAGCTTTAATAACTTCAGAAATATAAATGCTACAAACTTACAAAAGCAACATTTTTACGCTTAGTTTTGTGAATTGGAATAATTTTAACTCTTAATTATTTTGTTTCCATCTGTTTGCTCATCTTCAATAAGGGCAACTGATGAAGTTCTAAAACAATCTGCTAGAAACTTTGGCTGTGACCTCTTTAGAGCTTAACTAGTAGAAGTAATGTATCAGTAACAGACTAAGCATACATGAATCCTTTAATCCTCAGGAGGGCACTGTGGAACTATGTTCTTAGGGTTGTCTGCTGTGGAAAGGTTCTTTTGTTACTCGAATTATGTGAAGAGTACAAGGCCAGGACTCCACAGAAAAAACATTTTCATTACTTTTAAAGACAAACCATAAAGATTTTTTAAAATGTGAAACATATATATATGTATTTATTTTGTATTTTATTTTCATATTAAACTGAGTAATTTGAAGAATGATCAAGATATTTCTACCTGGAAAATCATATTCAGGTAAGGAAACTGCTTTTGTGTAGTTTTATGAACATTTGGAAAGAGCAAACCTGGACCAGGTGTTTAATTTTATAATCTTTAAATTTCCAATACTCAGAGCTCTCAGTCCAACTTTGATAGTATTTGTTGTAAAACTAAGTAGCTCTAAAAAAAAAAAAAAGAGGTCTTTTAACCTGCTGAGATAAAGTTGGCTTTTCCGTGTGCTTCCCACGTGCCCTACACCTCCGTGTTTTTAAACTAAAATGTGTTCATACTTTTCCAGGAGTAAAACAAAACAATGAAATCATTATTCAGATAAAATATTATAGGTTTATTTAAAACTTAATTCTCACCTTGAGTATGCAAAATACAAACTCCACAAAATGTTCATTTTACTTTGTAGTTTACAAATATACAAAATAGAAGTTTGCTTAAATTTATATTACATATTTATTAAGGCAAGGAACTATATAGAAAAAACATTTGTTCTGCTAAAGGCATACTTGGGAATAAACCATTGTACGAATTATTGCACATCTGAAACCACAGTGCATAACAGACTGTCTGCATAAAAATGTTAAAGTAAACCAGGCGTATTTACCTGACTTAGGTCATAAATGTAGATCGGAAGACAAAAATAGATTTTCCTTGTCAAAGTATGCAGCAGTTTGAGAACTTTGGCTTCCTCGTTTGGTACCTTTAGAACCAAGACTCACCAAGCACCATCATTTAGGCTATTAAAACACATTTTCAGTACCTGAATTTCTTCCTTTTCTTCTAACATCATAATAATGGCTTTTAGAAGGTAAAGAGAATACAAGGTGATCTTTATGCTTATATTGCATCAAAACACAATTCAAGGGAATTCTGGTCTTCCCTCCCCCAACTCACGGATCTAATTTATACCCTGATATCCACAACTTCCAGTCACCCCCTTGGCATTTTGTAAGTCCAGGAATATTGAAGTTGGATTTAGAATTGGAATGATAAGAAGATCCAGTCACAGACCCCATCTGTTCTTTGATTTTTGACTTTTGGATTCCTCGTTGCTCCTGCTTATTCATTCACAAGTGGACTCAGTTGGGAACTTGACCATGATTGTAGTGCTCCAGCTGGGCTCCTCCCCTCATCGGGAAGACAGTGTCAAAGGTAAAAAATACTGAATTCTCTTTTGGCAGTATGGGTCTTATTCACTGTTTGAGACTTAAAAGTGCCTCTTCATGTGTAAGGCGAGGTGGTCCGACCTAGAAAATGCCCGGTCGCACTTCTGGCACTGGAAGGGGCGGTGCCCGGTGTGTTTGCGGTAGTGCCTGGTCAGTTCATCCGAGCGGGCAAATTTCCACCCACAGCCATCCCAGTCACAGTGGTAGGGTTTCTCACCTATAAAGGGAAAAGAAATAAAAAAAGGTGTTAAAGCCATTGCTATGACAAAGAATTGGCCCTTTTAGAAACTGGAGGCCAGATATTAAACTAAATTTGCAGGTACCCCATTCTGAAAGAATCCAGGAATGTCTATACCAGTGAAAGGTCATATTAAATTTCAAGCCATAAATAGGAATAATACATGCTTCAAGTATTTGCTCTTTTTAAGGGAAGATTAATTAAGCAATGGAAAACATGCAAACACCACCTAAACCACCTTCTTTCTATTGGGCTGTTTCTTTTGAGCCAAGATATGAAATGGCGGTGGAAATGAATTTGGAAATTGTGATGAGTAGTGTCTCTCCCTGTCCAAACCCAGCAATAATACCCTATCCCACTACAATTGGATCTAAAAAGCCACAGGCAGCTATTTTTTTCTTTACCTTAATAAAGGCTACACCTAAATGACCTTATGTACCTATTTACACTGACATGGAAATTCTCCGCAGTGACAATCTTAAACCAGAATCTCCCCAGCAGTTGTAACCATTGTATTCCTTGAATTTAAATAAAACCTAATTATTAAGACCATAGCTAAAAATAATAGGGAGAGCGAAGGTTGAACCTAAGACGGGAACAACCAGTGAAAATAGTCTGGAAAATTAAAAACGGATTAAAAAAAAAGCCATCATGCTTTTGCACAGCAGAGTATAATTTCTTGATTACAAGGGCAATACTTTGCTCACGCTAGGAGAGGCCCACATACCACTGGGAATCTCCTGCCTTTTAAAAGCCTCACAAAACTGCACATTCAAGCACAGATACCATCCATCAAGCAAAAAGCTCCTGGGCAGAAGAGTAGGCGACTGTTTGCTGGCCTCTCCTGTGATCCAGGAGATGAAGGAGATAGGATTGGCTGGCAACCCCAGGAGGCACTGCAGAATGTCCATAGTTAGCCTATGGGACTGGTCGCCAACCCCCCCCTCCCGCCCCCGCCTTTCTGCGGCTTGCGTCCCCCTACCTGTGTGGGTTCGCAGGTGTGCCTTAAGATGAGAACTCTTTGTGTAGGTTTTGCCACAGCCCGCGTAATCACAAGTGTGCGTGGCGGTTCTTTTCCGGGGCCACGATCTTCTTCCCCTCTTTGGCTTGGGCTCCTCCGGCATGCAGGAACCGGGTGGCATGAGCTCTAGGGGTGAAGAAGGTGAGGTCAGCAACATCCTGTGAGCCCCGGAGGGCTGGCACACGCAGAGCTCCCCAGCCCAAGCTAAGAATCCCCAGGACTGACCTTGGTAATGGAGCGGCGGGACCTGCGGCTGCATCTGGTCGGGCAGGAAGGGTGGGTAGCTAGGCCCGGGGTGGGGATGGAAGCCTGGGGGAAGCGGCAGGGCAGGGTGACAGTCCCTGCTGCTCAGCAGTTCCTCGGGACCCAGGGTCGGGGTAGTCCTGCTGGGGAGCTGCCGCCCCAGGGGGAAGTCGTGTGCAGTCGGCCGGTGGCCATTGCTGAGAGGGGGTCCAGCGCCTAAGTGGGCCTCTAGGGGCCGGCTGACGGTGCACGAGGGGACTGCCTCCTGCTTGATCTTGGGGCACATGCGCGGCGGCCCGCCGCTGTAGGGTGCCACCACCACCGGATGGCTGCCGTCAGGGCTGCCTTTGCTAACACTGATGACCGACGGGCTGCCATACTCGCTGCCAGGGGCGCTCATCGCCGACTTCAGCACAAATTTGCCCATCAGCCCGCCACCTGGCGGCTGCGGCTGCTGCGGCGGAATGTACACGGGGTCCAACTCTGGTCGCAGGAGCTCAGCCACGAAGCCGCCCGAGGGGCTCACGTCGTTGATATCCGCCAGGTTGAAGGGAGCTGTGGGAGGGGGCGCAGACTCCCGGCCATAAAGGAGGCCTCCGCCCGAGCCGCCCGGTGCCACGCCTGGGTCGCCCCCGGCTCGGATCGGATAGCTGAAGCTGCAGGTGGAGGGCGCACTGGCAGGGCCGCTGCTCGAGGGGGAGGACGAGGATGAGGCTGAAGCCGATGAAGACACGGTGGCAGCCACTGACTCCTGATGGGACAGCGAGTTGGAAAGGATAAAGTCCAGGTCCAGAAGGTCGTTATCGTTGAACACCTCCGTCTCCCTCCGGGGTAGGAGCGCCGGATTGCTACCACCGCAAGCCGCGCCGGCTCCGCCGCTCTCCAGGTCAGTGGCCACCGTCGCCGCCGCCAGGTCGTAGGGGCGGCCGGGAAGCACAGGGGGAAGTCGCTTCATGTGGGAGAGCTCCTCCCGCCAGCGCTGCGGGGTCAGGATGGGAGAGAGATGGTCAGTGGTGGTCCCCTGTTGCCACCCCGGGCCACACGCGCCTGCACCGCCCAGACATGGTGACTGGGCAGGCAGGAAGCGCCCAGGAACTCCGGGCGCCAGTGCTGCAATCTCGGCCCACACCCGGGTCCCAGAAGAGGTGATGTGTCTATATTGAGGGTGTTATGTAGTGTGTGCCCAACTGCGTGTAAGCGAGAGAGAGACACAGCTAGCCAGCCCTGGTCCCTCCCCCGCCAGATCCCGGGGACACCCCCGGAATTGGGACACCAAGGCGCTCTCGGTGCTCCCTCGCCACTGGGCCGCCCACGCGCTAAGCTCACTCCAGCCCAGTCAGTGGCTGGAGACTCAGCCACCTCCTGCCTGGTGGTCTGCACGCGCGCGCGAGCGCCCGCCCTACCAACTGCTTGTTCGGGGACACGTGAGGACCCAGTGTGCGCCCCCGGCGGCTCCGCAATGCCCGGACCACATGCATGTACGGCCGAGCTAAGGGCGCCGAAACCATCCCGGGAAGGCTGCGGAGTCCGCGCCGTGACCACTCCTTACCCTCGCCCAGTGGCTCTTCGTGACCTCGGGGTTCTGCTCGTCCCCACCCCACCCACAAAAGCCCACCGGGTGTTCCGGCGGCCCAGGGCAACACTCACGTTATTCGGGGCACCTGCCGGACGCAGTGTCTTCTCCCTTCCCGCCGGGCCAGACGCGAACGTAGAAAAAGACGGGAGCAGCGCGTCGCTGACAGCCATGTCAGACTCGCCAGGTGGCTGCCTGCGGACCGGGCGGGGCGCACAGAGGCAGAAGTCAGGGACCACTTTCGGCCGCCGCTCCGGTGCGTTCCCCCGGTCCTCACCCCTCTCTACCCCCATTGCCCCGCATCTCACCTACCTCATTAATGTGGGGGCCCAGAAGGTCCTTGGGAGCCGAAGCAGCGGGGGTACCCGAACCCCAAAATCAACGAAGAAAATTTTAAAAAGACTTAGAAACGAAGCCAAAACCAGAAACCCCAAACTGCCCGAGATCCTTCTTCTTTGGATTAATATAAATTGGAGACGTCTTTTTTAAAAAGTTCCTTTGTATACAAAAGTTCTTAGAAAAGTTGTAAACTTTTATAAAAATAGACAAATCAGCAAGGCAAGTAAGTAGGTCCGGTGTCCAGGCTGCTCTCTCTTCGACTCAGCAGCGTCCCCCACCGCTGTCGCTGTCGCCGCGGCTGTTGCCGTGGGCGCAGGGGCTGTGGCCGGGGCGGTGGGCGGGCGGCGCCGCCAGGTGAGACCGGCCGCGGTGGCGCTGAGCTGCGGGCTGGGCGGCGGCGCAGGGCGCGGAGTCCGGGGGGCTGCTTGGGTCGCGCGCGGCCATGGGCGCGGGCCACGGGCGGGTAGGTGGGTGGGGGGCCGGAGGGGCGGGGAGGGGCACTAGGCGGCTCCCGGTGCCGCCGCCGCCCGCCACCGCCTCTACTCCCCGCGCGCCCGAAGCCGCGCTCGCTCTCTCGGGCCGGGGAACTGCCGGCGGCCGCCGCGCGCTCCTGACTTATAACTTTGGGCTACCCCGGTCCCCCCGCCTTCTCCCTGCTGCGCGCCAGGGCCCGCCGCCAGGCCCCGCCCCTCCCTTTCTTCTCCCCGCCCTCCGCACGTTGCCATGGCAGCTAAATAAACAAACTCCGCGCACGTGGGGGCGGGGCGCGGGAGGGGCCGGGCTGTGACGCCAGCTCGGCAGCTGGCGAGCTGGAGCCGCGCTGACGCCGGCGGCGGTGGTGACGGCGGCGGCGGCGTCCGCCCCAGCTCCGGGCGCGGAGAACGGGGCGCAGGTTCGGCCGCTGGGCGGCCAGGGCTGTCCGCGCCGCCATTGCGGGTTCCCTGGGTTCGAAGCCCGAGGCGGAGAAGGCCGGTGGGGGAGCAGGAGCACGGTTACGCGCCCCCGCCCCTGCTCCCGTACGCGCTCGCCGCGCCGTCTGCGCGCTAGAGGACAGCGCGATTATCCGCGTGACTCAGCCAGCTCTCCCTCCCTCCCCTACGCACGCAGGAGCCCGGCTCCCGCCCCGCAGCGCCTGTGCGGGCGCTTGGCCTGACCGCGCACGGTTCCTCTCCGGGCCAGCGGCCGGGCTGAGGGTGGGGGTAGGGGCGGGGATGGGGGTGGAGAGGAGGTGGGTGTCCAGCACTGGGTGGCGGCACTGGGAACCCCCGGAGAAGGCTGGAGGATTGTTCCGCGCCTGGAGCAAGCGGACAGAGGCCGGAATGGGGATCCGAGTTATGGTTTTGATATTTAAAGGAGTGAAAGGGCTAAAGATAGGAGGGGTGGGGGAGACAAGAGGGACTGTGAGGCGCGGAGACACTTTTCAACTAGACAATCTCGAAGCACGTTACAAGCCACGCACTCTCCTTTCCACTTTATGGATGAGAAAACTGAGTCATAAAGAGGTGAAATGGCGAGTAAAGGTCAAACGACAGCTCGCCTCTTTCGGCTCCGGCTCCGGGTGGGTCAAGCCCACCGAAAGGGACTTAGCCGGGAAGTGGCCAGGTGCCAGGAAGTGCAGCGCTGCGGGGGGATCCCAGTTCCCGGAAAGTGCACACGGGGCCCGCGGCAGCCGGCCTTGCCCACCGCGAAGAGAAAAGGGAAAGGCGATCAGGATTTCAGTCTTACAGCGCTGCCCCCCCTCCTCCCCCCTTAGTTTGTGATCAGTAATTTTCCAGCCGGGAAATGTTTTCGCCCTCATCTTCTATGCAAACAGTGCTTTTTTTTTTTTTTTTTTTTTTTTTAACGTGAGTGTGGTGGTGTTCGGTATCACTTGCTGAACGTAAGCTTGCGAGGTGTTTACTTTGGATTGGGGCGCGCCGCGCCTGGCTCCGCCCGCGTTCTCCGCGGAGCCCCCTCTCCCGCAAACGCTGCCTTACCCGGCCTGCGTCAGCTAAGGGAAGAAAAGGGAGGAGAGGGCCTGGGAAAGGGGGTCGAAGTTCCAGCACCGGGCACAGTGTGCCCTCACCCCTTACTGAGTTCTAGTTGCCTCATACTTTTTGCCGTTGTCACCTGTTTGAATCCTGCGATTCTGGCACCTATTAGGTTTCCTCAGAATATTCATTATCCCTGATTTTTCCCCTCCTCGCCCACCACAGGAGCATTCTTGGAATGCATGTCGCCCCGAAAGAATCGACTCGGCTCTCTCTGCCATCGCTTGGAATCCCTCTAAGGTGCAGAGAGCTGGGCGCCTTGGAGTACATGACTTCCATCCTCTACCTCGGCTCTGCCAAGGGCTGCCACGGCCCGCAGCTGAGGGGAGGGGCATCCTTTGGCAGGGAAAACGAAACCTCCAGGGTTCAACCCCACCCCCACAGGACCAGGCAGTTTAATTCTTTGAAAATATTGCCCTTTTCAAACGGAGGAACTAAGAAAGGAAGACACCTGCTGCTTCCTCCCCCCCCTTTCACTGTGTTGGCAAAAACTTCTGGGATGCTGGGATTTGAGGGTTGTATGGAAAAGGTAGCCACTTTTTCATAAAGACCAGAGTCCCTAAACCCTGACGAACTTGGATGAGCCCTGGACTGGCAGCCTGTCCCCTCGGGGATGTAAACACGTAGGTTGGGACTTGGAATTTCCAACTTCGTAGCCAGTTTACCAGATTATTTTTCCTTAGATTTTAGTTATCTGAGGCAGTGGCCCTTCCCCCTCAAAAAGACTAACTGGAACCACTAGACTGAGAAAGCAGTATTGCTCAGATGAATTGGAAAGACACTATTATTATGTCATATAATCAAGACAAGATTCTGAAAAAAAATGAACTTGTCGTTTCCAAACAGCCTTCTCAAGGGTAAAAGCTGGTGCCTCTTTGTGGCAGGCAGCTATCTGGTTATTCCTCTGATTGCATCATAAAGGGAAATCTCTATGTTCAACAGATGTCTAAGAGGCAAGGAACTTCAGGTTCACAAATCATCTCCTTTCAAGGCAGGTGCCCGGTGTGACAACAGGGTTATGACCGTCCCTCTCTTCAGAACAGGTAGAGCCAGAAGAGTTAAATCCCTGCCCTATATAATTTATAAACATGAGGCTGAGTAAACCTTTGATGACTAAATTGCACTCTAAAATAATAATAATAGAAGACACCCTTTAAAGAAGAATTAAACACTTACTGGTGACTTTATTTCAGCGAACTGATATTACAAGTTTTGTGGAATGGAAGTTAATTATTAATGTCCTTGGAGTTATAAAATAATATTTTTCCAGCACAAACTGCATTAGTCGGCGGAAGATGTGACGCACACTATTAGCGCTAGGGGATTCATGTGGATCCGTGAAGGGGTGTGATGACTGAAGAGGCTGCATCCGTGTTTCAAGTGAAAGACTCTACACCCATAACTGGGCTTGGAGTCTGGACCCACAGAGCACCTTGGAGAGCGTGACTGCACCCTGGCCTGGGTGTCTGTGCATACCTGCCGCAGGACTCAGAAAAAGATGCTCTTTAAGAAGGTGAAAGGGGCTGGCACGATGGGTCACGCCTGTAATCCTAGCACCCTGGGAGGCCGAGGCGGGCGGATCATGAGCTCAGAAGTTCCAGACCAGCCTGAGCAAGAGCGAGACCCCGTTTCTACTAAAAAAATAGAAAGAGATTAGCTTGACAACTTAAAATATATAGAAAAAATTAGCTGGGCATGGTGGCGCATGCCTATAGTCTCAGCTACTTGGGAGACTGAGGCAGGAGGATCATCTGAGCCCAGGACTTTGAGGCTGCTGTGAGCTAGGATGACGCCATGACACTCTAGCCTGGGCAACAGAGTGAGACTCTGTCTCAAAAAGAAAAAAAAAAAAAAAAAGAAGGTGAAAGAAAGAGATGATTTTAAATACCCACATTGCTTTGAAATGAAATCCCTACTAATGAATAACTGTGAGAGGGGCTTGCAACTTTCATAAGGAGGTAGCAAAGCTTTTCTTAGCTTCCACTCCCATCTCCTGTGAACGCCAGCTTCTTTCTAACCTCGATCCTGTGTAGAGGTTAGGAAAGTCGGCTTTGACACTAGCTTCCCTAATCTGGCTTTGCTGCTTCCTAGCTGGGCAAGTTACTGACTTGACTTTGCCTGTTTCCTCTTCTGTAAAATGGGGATATTAATAGTGCCCACTTCTTAGAGTGATGAGTAGCAAATTAGATCATCTAAGTAAAGTATTTAGCACAGGACTGGACACTCAATACAGGATAGTTATTAATATCACCAGTGTTCTCCAGGGCACCATAAACTTGATGAGGGCAGGGCTATTGTTTTGTTCACTGCTATATCCCCAGGTCCTAGCATAGTACCTGCTTAGCACATGGTAATGCTCTATACGAGTTTGTTGGATGAATGAATGAAGTACTATTCCTTTTCCAACAGTCCATTAGCAGGGAGTTGGTCTTTCAACTGTCAACTATATGCTCATTAATACCCTTTCTTATCAAGAACCTCAGTCCACCCAGACTCTTATCATAACTCTTCACTCTTCCCCAGCTTCCTAAGCTAGAAACCTACATTTTCTGCAACTCCTCATTTTCTTTGACCCGAGCATCCAGGCATCCAGAGTTCATCCATTTCCATTATTAAGTATCTCCACCATCTCTTTCCTGCTCCTGTGCTGCTTTCTTTCAAGCCCTCCTCATTTAAAGCTTTTAATTGTGGCACAGCCTCCAAACTGTCCTCCTCCCTCTCCCCGAGGCCCCGCTGGAATTTCCCTGCTAGATCAAGTCCATTTTGCTCACACACTTGCACCACCGTCCTTCTGCTCACCCCCGCATCAGCCAGTCTTTCAATAGCTGCCCTTTGCCTAGGGGAGCAAGACCAAACTGTTTACCCTGATGGACCAAACTCTTCCTGCTCTGGCCCCAGACAAACTTTCCAGAAGCATCTCTAGAGACTGACCTCACCCTCTCTAAACTGTTAACTAGATGTTCTCTCAAGTCCCTGAATACATGATGTGTATTTCATCAGCTGTTTTTCCTCTCCGAAATGCCCTTTCTCCCCTCAGGGCCCTCATCCAACGCAGACTGTAAAGTCCCTCTTAATTGTCTCTTGATTTATAAGACCCCTTTTAGGTTCTTTTTTCTCTGAGTAGCTAACAAAGCTGTGAGGTGGTTCTGCTATGACACTTATCCAGCGGACTTCCATGATCTGCAGGCCAAATGCCCAGTGACCCATTCATTGTATTAATAGAATGAATGAAGTGAGCAAAATGGACTTGGCAAAACTACTCATCGGGTGGGGTGAGGAGTCGGGGGACCCCGTCCTTGACTCAGCAGTAACATTTCTCTCTAGCGTTCACTGACTGAGTACTTTATTTTCCATGCCTTCTCTTCCTCCACCTCTTCATGTCTTTCTTTGAAAAGTCTTATGAAAGAGACAGAAAATGAAATCCTTCATAAAATTAAGTTTGTCCTCTCAAAACAGTTGGACGAAGTGAGAGAACGGCACTGGCCAAGGCATTGTAATAAAACAAAGTTTAAGAACACAAACAAAAATAACCAAAACTAAAACCAA